ACTAAAATAATAATATTAATAAAAATAATAATAATAGTAATACCAATAATACTAATAAGAAGAAGAAGAAGAAGAGGAGGAGGAAGAATAAGAAGAGGAGGAGGAAGAGAAGGAGGAGGAGGAGGATGAGGAGGAGGAGGAGGAGGAGGGCGAGGGGGAGGAGGAGGAGGAAGAGAAGGAGGAGGAGGAGGAGGAGGACGAGGAGGAGGAGTTGAAAGATCTCGGACAAGCTAGGCGACACCTGCCTTCGGCAGCCCGCGCCGGGCACTCACGGTGCTCGCGTGCTGGCTAATCCTGCAGCCACGCCCGCGCGCCATTCTCTGATCCAACCCTTTGGGACAGCTGAGGTCCTCAGGGCTGGAGAGACCCACAGTTAAGTTAACTCGTTTCGTTTTGTGCCCCCGTGGTCCTGGCAATGTTCTCGTAGGGCTGTGGGCCTTGTTGCAGCTCGGTGTCAGATCGAGTCGGAGGCGCCGCCCACCTCTGTGGGCTCCCCATGCGGTGGCGCAAGCGGTACACGGCGCGAGAGATCCATCTTGCGATGGGGCTGGGTCGACGAGGAGGAGGAGGAGGAGGAGAGGAGGAAGAGGAAAGGAGGAGGAGCAGGAGGAGGAGGAGGAGGAGCAGGAAGGTAGGAGGAGAGGGGGAGCAGGCGGAGGAGAGGAGGAGGAGCAGGGAAGGGGAGGGAGGAGGAGGAGAGAGGAGGAGGAGTGAGGAGGAGGAGGAGGGAGGAGGAGGAGGAGGAGGACCACCGCCAGTGCTCCTTGAGGTGCGCCACGCAGCTCCTGACCATGGTGCAGTGGGGGGAGCTCGACTGCCTCGTGGTGGACACGCCCCCCGGGACGGGGGACGTCCTGCTGACGCTCACCCAGACGCTGCAGATCGACGGGGCGGTCCTGGTGACCACCGGGAACGAGATGAGCATCGCGGACCTTCGGGCGGGCGGTAATGCCAGGGCCACCATGAGGGTGCGAGGTTGCGAGGCTAGTCGCGCTTCGCGCTTGGCGGTGTGGGCGATTTTCAGATCGAGGCGCGAGTCCCTCATCCTGTTCTGGGGGGGGGGGGGCGGGGGCGGCGCGAAAGCGCGAAGATAGTTAATCGCGCTTCGCGGGGCGCAAAGCGCGAAGATGGTTGCCCTGGGACCTTCGGGCGGGTGGTAATGGGAGGGGGGTGAAGAAAAGGGTCCCCAGGGGCCCCTTGAGGGCCCCTCTGGGAGTCAGCAGGGCCCCCCCCAAAAGGGCCCTCAGGGTCCCTTGGAGGCCCCTGTTCTTCACCCCCCGTCTTAGGCCACCGCCCACTACCACCCTCCTCAGACCTCGGAGGAGAGAAGCATCTCATAAGCACCAACTTCTGGAGCTCCGCGCAGAGTCCTTGCATCTGCGCTGGGCCCCCCCTCCCTGGCGCGCAGCGCACGCCAGGGGCGGCCCGGCGCCAGGTCAAGAGATCCGCGTGGAGCGCCAGCAGTTTTGTGTCGATGCCGCTGTCTCCTATCCCCCCAGGACCTGAAGAAGGGCGTCGAGCTCCTCGAGAAGGTGGACGTCCCGACGCTCGCCGTGTGCCACAACATGGCCGGGCACACGTGCGAGCGGTGCGGCCACGAGAGCGACCTGTTCGTCGACGCGGCCGCCGAGCAGATTCCGGGGCTGATGGAGGCCTGCCCCGGGGGCGAGCTGCACCTCGGAGGGCGCCAACCCTGCACCTACCGCCAGTCCTGCCCAGGCCGACCCCAGGCCCAGGATCGGTGCACCAAGACACCGATCCCTCCCCCTCCCTCCTCCTCATCCTCGTCCTCCTCCTCCTGCTCCTCCTCCTCGTCCTCCTCGTCCTCCTCCTGCTCCACCTCCTCCTGCTCCTCCTCCTCCTGCTCCTCCTCCTCCTCCTCCTCGTCCTCCTCCTCCACCTCCTCCTCCTGCTCCTCCTCCTCCTCCTCCTGCTCCTGACTTCTCATGCTCTCCCCTTCCTCCTCCAATGCTCTCCCTCCTCCTCCTCCGCCCTCCTCCTCCTCCTCCTCCTGCCTCCTTCTCCTTCCTCCTGCTCCTTCCTCTCCTCACTCCTGATCTCCTCCTCCTCCTTCCCTCCCTCCTCCTCCTCCCCCTCCTGCTCCTCCCTCTGCTCCTCCCTTTCCCTTCTCCTCATCCTCCCTGCTCCTCCTCCCGCTTGCTCCTGCTCCTTCTAATCCTCTCCTGCTCATCCTCTCCTCCTCCTCCTCCTCCTCCTCCTTCCTTTCTCGTCCCCTTGTCCTCCTCGTCCCTCCTCGTCCTCTCCTCCACCTCCTCATACCATACTCCTCCTCCTCCTGGCTCCTCCTGCTCCTCCGCCCCTCCTGCTCCCTCCTCCTCCTGCTCACCCTCCTCTCGCCTCCTATCCTCCTCCTCCTCCTCCTGCTCCTCCTCCTCCTCCTCCTGCTCCTCCTGCTCCTCCTCTTCCTCCTGCTCCTCCTCCTCCTCGTCCTCCTCCTCCTCCTCCTTCTCCTCGTCCCAGGGCGAGGTTTCCGGGAGCCTTCGTCGGCTCTCGGCGGTCTTCCAGCCTCGGGGTGCTCTCCAGCGGCTGCGCCTCGGAGGTGCCCCGAGAGTGCCGAACGGCCGCCGGAGAGCCGACTCGCATGAGACCTCGAAAGCCAGGCCTGCCACGTTTTTTATTTATACAAAACAAATTATCCCAGTGCGGCCCTACCTAGGAGTTGGAGCCTCTAGGAAAGCAACATTACTAGGAGCGGTAAACGCCGTCTTCCTCCTTCTCCTCATCGTCGTAGTTGTAACAGTAGCGGTAGTAGTAGCATGGAACATACGTGCGCACACACACACACATATCTATATAGTATATATATATATATATATAGCAGCAGCAGCAGCAGCAGCAGCAGCAGCAGCAGTAGTGGATGCTGTGTTGCGCTATGCTATGGTTTGTTATGCTCTGCTCTGCTCTGCTCTGCTATGCTATGCTGCGCAATGCTATGCTGGGCTAGGCTAGGCTAGGCTAGGCTATGCTATGCTATGCTATGCTATGCTGCGCTATGCTATGCTGCGCTATGCTATGCTATGCTATGCTATGCTTTTGCTTTGCCGTCGCTTCTGCCTTCACTTTTGCCTTTGCTTTTGCTTTTGCTTGGCACCCAGGGAGCGCAACGGGGGGAACCGCGCGTTTGCTTTTACCTTTGCTGTTGCTTTTGCTTGGCTCCCAGGGGACTGGGGGAACCGCCCGGGGCGCTTTCCACTGCCCGGCCCCTTTAAGCTAGAGAGTTAAGCTAGAGAGTAAGAACCCTTCTAGGCAGAGCCTGGGTAGGGGAAAAAACGAACAACAACAAAACATCGGGACGGAGGTTTCTCGGAGCTCGCGGCATTTTGGGGTCCTCGCCCGGCCCCGAGGCCGTCAGGGAGCGACCCGGGGAGAGAACGGCTGGTCTCGTGGAACGGGTCGGGGCTTCCGGGGGCCGCGCCTCGAGAAACTCCAGGCATCGCACGTCGGGGCACCGATCCCGGGGGCCCGGGCTCGGCGCCGGGCCGCCAGGGTCGGGCCCGGCTCTCCCTCCCGAGCAGGGTGCCGGGACGGCCCCCGGGGGCCGGGCGAGGCGCCCCAGAGGCCGCACGCGATGGAGACGAGTCAGGGGACGGAGCCATGGCAGATTCGGGCGAAGAGAACGGCTGCTCCTCCTCCTCCTCCTCCTATTCCTCCACCTCCTCCTCCTCCTCCTCCTCCTCCTCCTCCTCCTCCTCCTCCTTCTCTCTCCTCCTCCTCCTTCCAGTCCTCCTCCTCCACGACAATTGGAGCAGGCGGTTTTGTGGCCGTTTTCGGCCTCCGGGGGCCCTCGGTGGGCCTCGGGAGCGTCAGAAAACATAGGGAGACAGATTCCGGCGAAGAGAGCCATGCACATGCACCGGTCCTGGCAAGGCCCATCCTTGACCCAGGATCGGTGCATATGCCTTCCTGGCCAAGACAGGAGGGCGTATGCACCGAGCCTGGGCTCAGGATGGGCCTGGCCAGGATCGGTGCATGTGCATGGTTCTTCTTCCTCTACCATAAGCGCAACAACTCGGAGGTCCGCGCGGATTTCTCGGATCGGCGCTGGGGCCCCTTGGCGGCGCGCCAGGGAGGGGAGTCCAGCGCGGATCCAAGAAATCCGCGCGGACCTCCGAGTTTTTACGTTTATGTAATGTTTCGCTCCCCCATGTCTGGCTTTCGGATCATACACCCGTTCGCAGTTCTTTCGACAAATCATCTGTTTTCGTGAGCTCCAGATAAAAAGAAAAGAATGGCGGGGCCTTGGGCGTTCTCTTGGAGCTCTGCTTGTCGTAGAGCTGCCGCATCTGTGGACCTGGACTGCTGTTGCGGACAGCGCCTGGAGCGAAGGCCACTGTCCCAGCGAGAATCGTCCGCACTGCCGTGCGGGGCGACCGGGGCACCCGCGGCACGCCCTCGGCGAGGCGCGGCCGCCAGAGAGTGTCCCGAGGCCGGGGAACCGCCGAGCACCGACGAGAGCTCCCGAGAACCCCATCCGGGTGCGCCGGCCCGCGGAGAATCCTGGAGGCCTCGCGCGCCGCGCAGTCATCATGCAGTGCCGTTTTTAATACATGCTCCGCGTGCGGATCATGTATTGAAGATGCAGGGACTTAGTTTTAATTACCCCAGCGCGACCCTACCTAGAAGTTGGAACCCCTAGGAAAGCAGCATTAGTTGCTATGCTAAGCTATGTTATGCCATGCTATGCTGCGCTATGCTATGCTATGCTGCGCTATGCTATGCTATGCTATGCTATGCTATGCTATGCTATGCTATGCTATGCTGCGCTATGCTATGTTATGTTATGATATGCTAAGCTATGCTATGTCATGCTGTGCTATGCTCACCTAATGATATGCTATGATATGATATGCTAAGCTGCGCTATGATATGCGATGCGATGCTATGCGATGCTATGTTGTCGCTGCTGTTGCTTTGCCTTTGCTCTGCTGCTATGCTATGCTATGATATGCTGCGCTGTGCTATGCTGTGCTGTGCTGCGCTATGCTATGCTATGCTATGCTATGCTGCGCTATGCTATGCTGGGCTATGCTATGATATGCTGTGCTATGCTACGCTATGCTGTGATGTGCTCTGTTATGCTATGCTAAAGCTCAGCGAAGCTAAGATGAAGGTAAGCTAAGCTAAGATAAACCTGAGCTAAAATGAAGCTAAGCTAAGCTAAGATGAACTAAGCTAAGCTAAGATGAGATAAGCAACGCTAAGCTAAGGGAACGTCACTGAGGGAACCGCGGAGCGGATGCTGGGGGAACCGCCCGGGGCGTGGAACACTGCCCGGCCCTTCAAGCACACCGAGTAAGAACCTTTCTAGGCAGAGCCTAGGTAGGGAAAAACAACGATGAGTTCATGCATACATTCATTCATACATTAGTCATGTATTAAAATCCTATATCTTATTAATTAATTTGTATCAAGAACTGCCCTGTACCGTGCAGTCCACACGTCCGCTCCGTAAGATCTGGGGCGACGATCGCGCGGCGATGTTTCGACGTAAGTTTAAGTCGGGCCTGTCCCTCTACAGGAGGAAAATTCAAAAATAGTCTAAAAATAGTCCGGAGACGATTTTTTGATTGTTTTTGGAGAATAATTTGTGAGGGTTTTTTTTGAGTTTTTTTTGTTCGCCCAAAATCCCCCTGTAGGGGGACACGCCCGACTTAAACGTAAGTGCCACGCGAATGTGGCGCAGAGCCAACGTCGTCGGGCGGGCGTCCGACACAGAGCTGGCGTGGAGCCGGCGTGCATTGGGCCTCGGGCTGCCGCGCGGGGCCCCTCCACGGCTTGCCTCGTGAGGGTCCCCCAGCCGTTGTGCCAGCCACTTGCTTGGCATCGCTCGGACGTGTGCATATTTTTTTCTCGGCGAGAACCATCGAGGACCATCCTGGACCATCGAGCAAAAAAAAAACACGCACGAAACCCAGAAATGCACGGGAAATGGACGTCCGAGCGACGGCAAGCTTGTTGGGGAGCCCCACAGGGCGACGAATGAGGGGAGGAGGGAGGGGGGCGACTGGAGGAGGGCGATCGTCTCCATGACGATCCCGGGCCCGGTCGGACGGGGCCAGGACGAGGACGAATCCGTTCCAGAGCGCCCCAGAACGCTCTCAGAGCGTTTCGGAGCGAGGAGGAGGAGGAGGAGGAGGAGGAAGAGGAGGAGGAGGAGGAGGAGGAGGAGGAGGAGGGGAGGCGCAGGAGGAGGAGGAGGAGGAGGAGGAGGGGGACAAGGACGAGGGAGCAAGGGAGGGAGAAGGGGAGGGGGAGGAGGAGGAGAGGAAGAAGGAGGAGGAGGAGGAGGAGGAGGAGGAGGAGGAGGAGGAGGAGGAGGAGGCCGCGGCGCCCGAGACATCCTCCCGGGCCGCTGGGCCTCAGAGTTTCTCGGCTTCTTCCTTCGGCCGATCTCGCCTTTGTCCTGGCCGCGTCTGGGCGGCGTCACCCCAACATACTAATACTATGTGTGCGTCGCCCACCAATGGGCGACGCGCGGCGACGCGCGCGCACCGAGAAGTCTTGAAGTATGTGCGTCGTGGCGGGCGCTTTCTGGCCACACTGCTCGGGAAGCGATATACTCTGTACAAGATGGGTCTAATATATATATATATATAGAGAGAGAGAGATTTATATATATATATAGGTGTGTATGTATATCTATATATAAATATGTATATATACAAGTATATGTATATGTATATGTGTGTGTGTGTGTGTTCGGTCCGGACGCGCGCCTCCCAAGGAGGACGTCTAGTACTAGTATTAGGTCGGGCGTGTCCCTCTACAGGGGGAATATTCAAAAATAATCAGAACATAGTCTGGGGACGATGTTTGACTATGTTTGAGCATTTGGGGTGCATGTTTTGAGTACTTTTCATTTTTCGCCCAAAATCCCCCTGTAGGGGGACGCGCCCGACTTGATACCAGCATGCCTCTGTGCGCCCCAGCTGGCCCAGGGTCGGCCTGGCCACGGCCGGTGTGGGGCGAGTGCCTGGCGCCCTCCGACCACCGCATCCCCCTGGACGGGCGCCTGTGGCAGGCGCCGCGGGGGCCGCTGCCGCCGCAGGTGCAGGCGTACCCGTACGTCAGGAGCGGGGCGGGGTCGAGGAGGGGGGGGGCGGTCGAGAATCGAGGAGGAGGAGGAGGAGGAGGAGGAGGAGGAGGAGGAGGAGGAGGAGGAGGAGGAGGAGGAGGAGTCGTAGCCATTTTGGCTCAGCCGCTCAGCAGCGAGCGAAAACCCCATTGTTCAAGCCGGCAAGGTGATTGTCCCCTCGGCCGGAGCAACTGGTGGCGGGTGTCGCGCTGATGATGGTGTACGGGAGAATTCGGGTGATGCGAGCTCACTTCATCGAAATTCCTCCGACCGCAAGAGGCGTCGGGATTGGGCGAAACTCTCTGCCGATCGGGCCATCATTCGATTGACGGAAGAAGTGGGTCGTCTTCGTGGCCAGTGCGAGCGTTTCCGGGAGGCGGTCGAGGCCCTTCTCTGTGACCCCGAGTTCTCCGACAGGGTGCTTGCCTTGGCCCCCGCCCTGCTGGACTTGCTCCATTCGAAGGAGAAGTCGAAGGTCAGCGTGCTGCGTCGCAATGTTGCTTTGCACGCGGACGCGGCAGGGCGAACGGTGGCCGATGCCAGCGAGAGCGACCTAAAGTTCATGCGTAAGGGGTGCCGCCTGGAGTCGCGTGCCAGGACCAGCACTACTTTTTGCTTTTCGCCCTCCATGGTCTACCCTGGCGTGTGGGAGCCATTCGTGGCGGACCGCGTGGAGACGTGCATGGGCGACCCCGAGCCCCAGGTGCACGACGCGGCGCTGGCAGGGCCCCCGAGGGGGATGTCTGCCCTTTGGTTTCCCATGGACGGGGTCCCTCCCCCCGCCATGGACGGCCCTGAGGAGGGGATCGCCGCGGTGGAGGATACCGACAAGGAGGACCAGTCTGTGGGCATCTCGGTTCTCAAGGCATCAGCTGAGGCTTTTGTCTCGTTGGAGGTGCTGCACGCTCAGACTGTGGGAGTCATCAACTCGAAGGAGGTCAGCAAGCGGCCCTTTGTCAAGAGGCTGGCCAGGCTCAGGCGTGTTGCGGAGACAGCCGCTGAGCAGGGCGAGCCAGAGGTTGGGTCACTCTTGCGCGGGCTGGGTGAGGCAGTGGCAATGGTCTCTGCTGGGCCACTGGTCATGCCACCGCCCGACTCACGGCCAGCGGACTGCAATCCGAGTTTGTTTGTATTGCTCTTGCTTTGACATGAGTATAGCTGGTGTATGGATCGAGGGTAGCAAGGTGAGGGAGCACGTTTTGCTGAGGGTATTTCCTGCTGCTGCATGCTTCATTGTGTGTGGCTGCCTCGTGTGCAGCTTCCTGGCGCAAATGCGAGTGGTGTATGGAATCGCACTGTCGTTCATCGTGCTCTCCGCGGTCGTGTCCCTCGATTGCTTGGAGGCGGTCGTCTTCTGAGCAGTGTCGTCGTCGGCGCTCGTTTTCCATGTGATGTCAGGGCGCCCGCCAGGTCTGTAGGGTCTGTGAGGAGGAGGAGGAGGAGGAGGAGGAGGAAGAGGAGGAGGAGGAGGAGGAGGAGGAGGAAGGATCGAGGACCGAGGATCGAGGAGGGATAGGGGAGGAGGAGGAGCAGGAGGAGGAGGTAGAGGAGGAGGAGCAGGAGGAGGATCGAGGAGGAGGAGGAGGAGCAGAAGGAGGAGTAGAGGAGGAGGAAGAGGAGGAGGAGGCGGAGGATCAGGGTGTTCACCGCCTAATCTTGCTTGCGAATCGAGGATCGGGGAGGAAGGAGGGAGGACCGAGGATCGCGGAGCTGTGGGGCGCTCCTGGGCGTCTCCAGGAGCCCCGGGCGGGGGGGTCTCTGGGGGAAGTCCGGGGGGGCCCGATTTCTGGGGAAGGTGCCCCCCCCCGCTCTTGGCGGGGACCCCGCGGGGTAGCTTCTCGGACGCCCACCCGAGCGTCTCGGGAGGCCCGGGTGCCGCGGAAGCTCGGGCAATTGGAAATATGAACCCGACGCGGCCCAACTTGGGGGTAGTTCCCTGAGGAAGTAACTATCGGGGGCAGAAAAGAATGGGGTGATGACTAGGGGGGGTGGATATCACGGCGGGGGCCACGATATTTCCCCAGATTTCATAGCGCCTCTTCTCATTCCATTACGTCCCTGGCCCCCCCGCTGGGCCGCGCACGTGCCGCCGGTCATGTTTTCCCCCCCCCCCCCCCCCCTCTTGGACACCCCCCTCTTGGCCGCTCCCGAAACTAACAAAGCACATATGCGTACGGGCGCGAGCGAGCAGGGAAGAAGTATGGCATGCGTGGCATTGTGTTGCACTGCCTTGCATGGTGTTGCTTGGCATTGGTTGGCGTTCGTTGGCATGCCTCGGTATTATTTCTTGGCGTCGCTTACGGCATTGCTTGGCAAAGCGTTGCGTGGCATTGCTCGGCATTCCCAGAGGAACCCAAGCAAGGCACCTGGGCGAGGAACTCGGGGAACCAAGAGGAACAGGGGCAAGGAATCAAGACCAAGGGACCCCGGAGGAACCCCAGGGAATGCTTCGAGGAACCCAAGAAAGGAACCAAAACCAAGACACCCAGGGAATTTCGAGGAATGACTCTGACGAAGGGCTTCTCTCACAAACAAGAAAGAGCCCCCACAGGCAAAGCCTAATTTGGAAAGTGTGCCGCAAGCACTCGAGTATTAGAACAAAGAGTGCTGATCGACTCGTCCCGCAATCGATCGCGGAGCTCTTACCCTGACCTCCGGCGTCTCGAGAAACTCGATGCGGACGTTTTTCGTTATTTTCGGCCTCTGCGGGCCCTCTTGCCGGGCACCGGGGCTGTAACACAACGGCTCAGTATGTAGAGCCGGCCTTGGGGAAACGGCCCAGACATTAGTGAGCCTCGGAGCTGTCTATGGAACATTGTAACCGTAAAGCAAACGGCTCCCGGAAACAGCACACATGGCTCCGCGATTGGGACGGGAACTTGAACCAGAACAGGACGATCAGAACGGCGACGGAACCAGGACTTAAAGAGACGGCGCCAGAGTTGGCAACAAAATGGCAGAGCGGACCCGTCAAGACAAAGGCCCTGCCGCTTTTTTTGGCGGGGTCTTCCAGGAGTCTGGATTGACAAGCTCAATACATCGGATAACCTTGGCGTCACCCCACCATACTAACACTATCTGTGCGGCGCCTCCCCAGGGGCGACGCGCGCGCCAAGAAATCTTATAGTATATGCGACGTGGCGGGCGCTTTCTGGCCACACCGCTCGGGAAACGATATACTACAATATGGGTATGCTATATGTTCGGGTCGGACGCGCGCCTGCAAGGAGGACATCTAGTACTGGCATGTCTCTGGGCGCCCCATGGGCTGACAAGCTCAAGACATCGGATAAGCCCCCCGCCTTCTCAGAAGTCCTCCAAGAAAGGGAGCGGATATGCTGTCAGTAGTTTGTGGCTTTGTTTGCGAGGGAACACAAAATCCTCCAAGAAAGGGCCGCCCCTTTGCGCCCTCCCTCCCTTGGTGCGAGCCGCCTTCTGGGGCTTGAGCCTTCCGCCTCAGGCTCTTGCTGCAGCGGCCTGGTGACGCGAACGCTCGAGCACTGGAGCAGCAAGAAAGCTTTTAGTCTAGGCCTCCTGGATGGGGTCCGAGAAGATGGGGTCGGAGGATCGCGCCACATCGATGCATCGACGATGCGGCTCGATGTGGGGCAGATTTGCTTGGGATTTATCCATAACCACCGCCTGGGGGATCGATCTTCGCGGACCTCCACAGGCAATGGATTTAGTCTCGGGCCCCTGGGGGCCAACATCTATCCAGCATCACCGCCCGCTGTGCCCCCAGGACATCGGCTTCCATCAGAGCGTGAATTACCTACCCCGCTTTCGCTTCCAGGCAAAACCAAGCCATACCATACGCCTCCTCGTCAAGCGGCCTGACCAGTACATGCCGTAGTTTGGCATCGCTTGGTCTTGGAAGCGAGGGTGGTCAAAAGCGAGGTAGGTTTGTTTGCCCCCAATTCCAGGCGGCGGATCTGGATACATCCCCGCCTGGCATCCTTTCGCTGGGGACCTGGGTTTTTCGGGTCATGGCTCGAGGCTCCGGCGGCCGTTCGGGACGAGTCTAGTCACCCGCGGAGGGCTCTCGACAGCGGCGCGGCCGCTGCAAGACACCCCGAGGCTGGAGAGCAGCCAGCATCCAGCATTCAGGAGCCAACGAGCACTCCGACGACATGTCCTACGAAGGTTCCTCGTCCTCCACGCCCTCCTCGGAGCGACGTCTGGCATGGATGATTTGACTGTTGCTCTCTGATGGGAGCACGCGCCCCCAGGGACCACGGACCCCTCGCGCAGAGAACCCGCCGCTGCTCCTCTTTGCTTCCCTTGCCTCTCCGTGTGGTGCCTCCGCCTCCGCCTCCCCTGCATGTGCATGGCTCGACCCGACATGGACGTGGTGAGCGCGCCCGCGGGGGCAGATGTCACACGTGTTTCCTCGGCACGACGGGAAGAAGTCGGAAAGGATTGCGCGGGCATCCGCGCGAATAAGCTGCCCGCGTAGGGTTATGTGGGGCGTGTCCCCCTAGAGGGGGGCTTTCGACGGAAAATAGAAAAAATACCCTTAACATGCCCCAAGAAGGTCGAACAACACACCAAACATAGTCCCCAGACTATGTTTGGATTATTGTCTTAAAAAATATGTTTGGAGTATTTTTGATTCTCCGTCGAAAATCCCCCAGTAGGAGGACTGCGCGGGGGCGCCTTCCTCCCAGTCCCCCTCTCGCGTAATGTCCGTGTCTTGTCGTCGCCCTTCTGGCGCCTGTTCGGATCCTGGCCTGGCCGATCTTGGGCCCAGGATCGGCGCGCGCCTTTGTCCTGCCCAGGCCAGGAGGGCGCGCGGACCGCTCCTGGGCCCAGCCTGAGCCTGGCCAGGACCCGTCCTCCTCCTCCTCCTCCTCCTCCTCCTCCTCCTCCTCCTCCTCCTCCTCCTCCTCCTCCTCGGGTTGCCTACGGCCCCGGGGGAACCCGTCCAGGGAAACGGGGGCGTGTTTTCGCGTTCTAGAGCGCAGGCGCAGCACGGCACGACACGCGGGCGGCCATTCTGTCGCCCGCGGCCCGCCGTTGGGCCTCCCCGCCAACGCCGTGGGGCGGAGGAGGAGGAGGAGGAGGAGGAGGAGGAGGAGGAGGAGGAGGAGGAGGAGGAGGACGGTTGGCGCCCTCCTGGCGGCGTCGGGACGGGGGGGGGCCCAGAACCGACGATCTTGCTCTGGGGCGTTGGGGGACAGAGGGGGCTCGACGAGGAGCCAGGACCGCGGAGCGCCGAGGATCGGGAATCGCATCGGCTTGGGAGTGATCAGTGATGGAGGGCCGAGGAGGCTCGTCGAGGACTGGATGAGGACTGGGGAGGGTCGAGGAGGATGGACCCACAGATCCGACGCCCCAAAAATATTGGAGAGGGCGGTGTTTGGCTGTTCTCGGCCTCGGGGGGCCCTCGCTGGGCTTCGGGAGCGTCGACAAACGGTTCAGGGCGAAAGGCAGGCCCAGGAAAGTGGACCAGACCTCCCGGGCCCACGCGTAAAACAAATTGGAACAGCTGGATGTTTGGGGAAGATCGAGGAATCCAGGACGAAGGATCGAGAAGGCTCGACGAGGACCGAGGCTCGCGCATCAGCGGCGCTGTCGGCAGGAACCCCGCCAACGGCGTCCGCCCCGCGGCACCGGGGAAACCGAAAAGTACCAATACCGGACCTCTCCCGGGGCGCAATCTGACCGTCATGCCGAGGCGGTTCCAGCGGTGGCGACGAGGCCCCCCAGGAGGCCGACAAAGAGGAGCGCGTGGAGTTGGTGGTGGTAATGGAGGATGACGATTAATAAATGACCTGGGGTCGTGTTCACGCGGCGGCGCCCGGGATGACGATTAGAAAAAACCGGCCGCGGGCTGGAAAACGATTCTCCTCCGGTCAGAAAATTGTGCAGAAATAGCAGACAACTATTTTTGTAATCGTTCTCTCCCATTTGTTTCTCAATCGTCATCCCGCATTAATCAGTACGCTTTGGTTCCCCAGGCGGCCAAGGATCCAGGATGGAGGCTCGAGGAGGTTCGGCGAGGACCGAGAGGCTCGCGCGTCGGCGGCGCCGCCCCGGCAGGAGCCCCGCCAACGGCGACCGCCCCGCGGCCCGCGCCCTGCGCGCGCTCGCCGAGGCCAGTCGGGGCGGGGGCGAGGACGTACTTAAGGAAAAGGAGGAGGAGGAAGCAGGAGGAGGAGGAGGAGGAGGAGGAGGAGGAGGAGGAGGCTGGAACGCTCCGAGAAGGAGGAGGAGGAGGAGGAGGAGGAGGAGGCCGGAACGCTCCGAGAAGGCCGCGGCGCCTGACAGATCCCCCAGAGCCGTCGGTCTTCAGAGATGATTGGTTCGTCCTCATACGGCTTTATCCTCGTCCTGGCTTCGTGTGGTGGGGAGGTTCGTCAAGTTTAGCGATCCGCCACGATCCTCGGATGCATCCTCACCCCAAGTTTCCTTACCCGGATGTGTCCTCCCCACCGAATTGATCCTTTCGCGAATTCAAATCTATCTCTACACGAATGGATCCTTGCCTTGGCCTCGCCTCGTCTTGTGGGTACTCAATCGCATTTGAACGAGCCGCCGCTTTCCTCGAGTTCATCCTCACCCGAACTTGTTTCCCATTACCCGAATTACCCGACTTTGCCCTTACCCGAATGCAAACTGAGTCTTTACCGAAATGCAGTCTTACCCGAATCTATCTTCGAGTTGATCCTCGGGTTCACCCTTGCCCGAACTTCGCCATGCCTACCCGAGTGTATCCTAACACGACGGCACCGCCTGATCCCGAGGCTTTGCCTCCTCCTGGCCTTGCCGTGAGGCCGCTCTCCTTCTGTCCCCCCCTCTTTGTTAATTCGAGTTTCGCGCGGCCCGCTTAGCTTCGACTGGAAGAGGTGCGCTCTCGACCCGCGAATCAAAAAGAGTGTATCCTTACACGACTTCACTTTTACCCAATCGAATTGAATATTCTCCCGAACTCGGCCTCGTTCTGGCTTCGTCCTGCGAGGGGCTGCTGGCCGCCTTCCTGGCGGGGCGCGGCGCGGGCGGCGCCGGCTGGCGGCGGGCCGAACTGCGGCTGCGGCGCGGGGGAGCCCTGGAGCTGCGGCTGCCCGGTGGTGAGCTGCGGGCGGTGCCGCGGGGGGGGGAGGGCGGGAGCAGCGCAGCGAGAGGAGGAGGAGGGGGAGGAGGAGGGGAGGAGGAGGAGGAGCAGGAGGAGGAGGAGGAGGAGGAGGAGGAGGAGGGGGGGGAGGAGCGGGAGGAGGAGGGGGGAGGGGGAGGGGGAGGAGGAGAGGAGGAGGAGGAGAGAGAGGAGGAGGGGAGGAGGGAGGAGGAG